CACACACACACACACACACACACACACACACACACACACACACACACATTTCTTCAACTTTGGATAAAGTTTGGATTGATATTCGTTGGATATGTGCATGTACGTTGGATATCCAAAAATACTTAAATTGTCAAAATTAATGGGGTTGCTTTTCCATACCTCTTCTGTAACTTTACCCTACAAAGAAGCTCATGATGGCCTGTTGACGAGATAGCACACCATACTAATTGACTCTGCCCATAAGCTCTTTTAAAGCCCAACATTCAATCAAAGACAATTTTCTCTTTAAGTTTGAGACATTTTTTATTCTTTCTGCCATGCCATTTTTTAGTGTCTTTCAAACTGAACAAATGCGTGTGAATATCGTGTTCCACACACGATTTATAAAAGTTTGATTTAGTGCACTTTGTACCATTATTTATCGTTAATTATTTAATTTTTATGTTTGCTTGATTCTCTACCCCTGTCTTCCACAACTTAGCTTGATAATTACTTCAAATTTATACTTCAAGAAATATAGCTAAACCTTGTGTGAAAGTAGCAAAACACCTGGAACCACCCATTTAGGCCTCTTTGATACGTCCCACACATCAGAATGCACATAGTCTAGAAGTTCATAAGTTTCATGTTTTTCGGTCTTAAATTAAACACAATTATTTTCTAAGTACGCAACACTTTCGCAAATACATATTGAAAATACTGACACCCTTCAATAGCTTTCTCTTATGAAGTTTCAACATTCCACACTCACTAAGATGATCTATACACACGTGCTAGGGTTTGGATGTCGTGAAATATATAGAATGATCAACAATAGTTTGCATGTAAGGGCCTAGAATCTCAAATTAGTGAGAGTTTAAGGAGATCTTGAACGTTTAAGTGAATAAAAAAATATGTTTCATATAAGTGTGAGTCCCTTTAAATAGGTGACCTTTTAAGGATCATGGGTCTAAAACGATTGTGCGGTTGCAATATAACAAATATTAATAATAAATTTTCATTTGATTAACATCAAAAGGTTGTGATTCAATCTCATGGTTTAATTCTCTTTGGACCAAGACAATATGGTAGGACACATTTATAATAAATGATTTTCTCATATAAAGAATGAATTTGAGTTCCAAATTACTACTTGAAACGATGTAATTAAAAAAATCAGATTAATCAATATTATATTCGCTTAAAGAAAATGATTTACTAAATTGGTCAATAAAATTATAAAGATAAATTGTTTTAAACCTTAAAATTGTGAACGAACAAGAATATTCTCCAATTAGAAGACGCCATACATTCTCGTCTTTACGTTAAATTATATTATTAAAGAGTGTCCAATGGACACTATGTAGCATCTCAAATGGATGACAACTCATTGACACATAATAAAATACAGACTAAATTTACTTGTGCTAATGCGAGAAGATTATTGCATATATATATTAGTTAAAAAAATAATCCTTATTCTATTTCTCCATAAAACTTCACTCTTTACTAAATATCATTCCTTTTCGATTCTCTTTAAAACTTTAATCGAGACGACTCAAGAAAATCTCGCCCACCCGTATCTTGTGCTTTTTCGATTGTCACACTCAGGTTTGATCCAACTTCATTTTGTTATTTCGCCTTTTTTTTCTTTTCATTTTCCCATTTATTTTGTTCGCCTATTTTTTTCTTTCAATTTTATCATTTGAACTCAGTATCTCCAACAATGAATCTTAATTTGATAAGCAATTAAATACACACATTGATTTCAAAAAAGGAACAAATACCTAAAAAGAAAGAAAAACAGTTTAAAATTTTAAAATCGTAAATATAAATTTTCTAAGCCTATATGAATTTAGGATTGCACACAGTAATTGTGTGAAATCATAGTGAGGTCCGATCGTCAAATTTTAAATCAATGGTAGGGATTGTTTAGTATGGATTTGATGAAGGTGTCATATAAACTATTAGATCTAATACTTCATGTAAATTCGTCCTTTTAGTATAACATGAGATCTTGGATCGAGTTTAGATCTATGTCAATATTGTTGTTTCATTCTTTTTAAGGCATTATATATGTTTTGTTTCTCAATGTGTGAAGTTCTACTTACTTGTTTCATATTACAAGTATTTATAAGAAACTTTAGGTTTTTTCTTCTCAAAATGAAAAAGTTTAGTTATGTTCCTTGGTGGAATCAGAAATGTATGATAATGTCTTGATGTAGTAGAGTAAGTTTCTGGTGTGCCAAAGAGGAGAATGACCTAAAAAGTTAGCACCCCAACGTCCAAGCCAATTCTTAAGTGAAAAGTAGTGTAAGAGTAAATTATGGTTAGAACATACCTCATGTCTTGCATGATATCTGTTATATATGAGGAGTGGTTAGATATCCCTTTGCTTTCTGGAATGGAATGCAGAGAATCGTTGGGTAACATCTAACGATGGAGGATGATCTATAGTGTTGATCAAATACACACTTGGAGGTCGCGAGTGCACTATACCTCCAACACCTTATAACTTTGAATTAATTATTGAATCTTTTTGTTATTGGGCATCTAGCCGACCTAAATTTAGAGTACAACTACAACTAAGCCTTATCCCACTAGGTGGGGTTGGCTATATGAATCAACTTTTGTCATAGTTTTCTATCAAGGACCATGCTTTTATCCAAATCATTAATCTACAAGGTTTCTCTCTACATGCCCAAACCACTTAAGTCTATTTTCCACCAGCTTTTTTATTATATGTGATACCCCGACACTCTCTCTATAATATTTTATTTATAATTTTATCCCGTCGAGTATTATCACACATTCACCACAACACCCGCATCTCTGGTACACTTACTTTATTCTCGTGTTGATTCTTAATCGTCTAACATACTGTCACATGTTTTATCGCAATCCAATAAAACTTTCCCTTCACGTGAGTGGTACCTTTGTATCACATAAAATATCTTATGTCTTTCTCCATTTCAACCATCCAACTTGAATTCGATGGTTTACATCCTCTTCTATTTCTCCATCATTCAGTACGAACCCAAGATATTTAAATTGTGTGGCTTAAGAGATAATATGGTATCAAACTTTCACCTCTAGGTTAGAAACACTTCTTATTTTGCTGAACTTACATTCCATATGCTCCGTCTTACTTCTTCTTAAACGAAAACCATGTGTTTCTAAAGTTCGTCTCCAAGTTTCCAACCTCATTTAAATCCTCATTCAAATATCTAATAAGGTTATATCATGCATGCATCTCTGTGCTAGCTATTGGTTATGTTTCATGAGTACATCTAAAATTAAGGTAAAAATGTAGGAGCTTAGGGTTGGACCTTGATGCAAACCAACTATAATGAAAAATCGTTTAACTCTCCATTCCGTGCTCGAACACTAGTCGAAAATTTGGTCCCAAGAGAGTTTAAATCCTGAATCTTTTTTGCTTATAGAAGGAACGCCTCTCCACTTAACTGTTTATATTGTCGGTTTAAAATGTTTTTCTGAAGTTGAGAGTCGAACCCAAAATTCATTACCCCCTCCGTTCCACGATGAGTAACCCATTTGAAATAAAAGATTGTCCCAAAATGAAGAATCAATTTCAATTTCTAATGCATCTTTTTTAATTTTATCCTCGAATTAATATTATTTTCATGATAAAGATACTTTAATAAAAATATCATTATCTCTCAATTATTATTATTTTTAATCCGTGTGAAAATGTCAAATATGCTCCTTTAGATGTTATAAATATTTGTCTTAAGTAGGTTTGGATCAAAGCCCCTTCACTAAAGAAATAGACACCCACACCAAATTTAGAGTACAAAAACAAAAATCCATTTGATGAAAAGAAATATTCATATAGCATTAGCGATAGGTTCATGTCATGTGTGAGAAAAAGGCGCGTGGGTAGCAGTAGTAGTATGTATGTATGGCATGGTGGTGTAAGTGTTGAGTGTGACACTAGCCCCCACGAGTTCCCTTCTCTTCCTCTTCACGACCATTTTTCTTGTTTTGTTTTAATCTAATTAACCAACAACTCCAACACTAAGATCATTACTACTAGTACCATATTAACACTTTGGGACCCATTTCACTACTTCATCTTCACTTCTTCTTCAACTCATGCTTCATCAACTAGCCACCATTTCTCTCTTTCTACATCTTTCTCATTCCCTTTATCAAATGGTCTTACTTTAGTGGGTTTTCAGAAAGCTTTCTTTTTTACCTTTAAAAACCAGATTCACTATCATTCTCATCCTTTTCTCCAAGGTACACTCTCTCTAACACAACCCCTTCTACTTTCTCTCACTAAAATGTTGAAAAGATTATTTTTTTGAAACAAATATTATCTTTTTCATTGTTACCTGAAAATTCCAACATTTGGGTATGCTTCTAAATTAACTTTCTCTTGATTGCATTAATTGACAAAGTAGTTGGGCTCTTGAGTTTTTCAAAACAACTATTAATACTTATGACCACTCTTGTTGGGTCATACTATTACTCAAAAGGTTGAAAAGGGAAAACATTGATTTTGTTTGGTTTTCTTGTTTTTCTATGTTTTTTAACTTTAGCTATTTCACATCTTCATCAGTCTGATGTTGTTATTTTTGTCTCAATCTATTCTTAGATTATTAGTATTAGATACCTTGATTTGAATTTTGTTTATTTATTTTATTTTATTTTGGTCTTGCTTATTTGTCTTCTATTTTGCAATATATTTATGAGGCCATTCAACTATGTAGGCTTTCAATTCAATCTTTTATTGCGGCTGTTTTATGAAATTATGACTGTGACTGATTCTGCATCATAGCCAAAACCTAAAACCTCTTTATATAGTAACACAATTCCACCTCTTTTTCCTTCAAGATATTTCTATTCTTTGATAATGTTGAAATCTATTTGCTTACAATTTTTTCTGATATTTTAGAGGGAACAAGGTGTAATAGGTAGCTATTGATGATGCTGAAGAATTTGAACTGTTTGAAACATTGAGGTTTCATTTAAGTGCTGTTGGTGATTTCGAAGTTATGGATCATAATAGAGATAATGGTTGGAGGGAATTGGTGAAGAACATGCTTCCTCCCGGTGTTTCTGTTCCTGATGATGCTTCTAGTCTTGATTACTCCAGAGGTTCGGAATATTTAGGTCCACCGGTTTCTTATGAAGTACCGATAGTTGAGCCACTAGGTGTGAAATCAAGAACAATAGAACAAATCCCTCTGCCGGTGTCTCGTATTGTTGGTGTAACAGGCTCTCCTAATCATAGTCCGAGGGTGTCGGGAAGTTCAGAATCTGTGGTTTCTGTGTTACTAAACCCTGATCTTTCTTCCGGTTCGCCTTCTGCTTCACCTGCTTCGGTTCATAATCCTTCAAATGTTGTTTCTAAGACGGGGATTAACGAAGCAAAGAGGGCGCCTGTTGTTACTTTTAATACTGTTGAAAGGTCTCAAATGAAAGAGGTGGTGGAGGTTGTGAAGCCGGTGTATCCGGAATATGTCGGCGTTGTGAAAGAAAAGAAGAAAAAGAAAATTAGAGTTTGTTATAGGTGCGGAAAAGGGAAGTGGGAAACTAAAGAGTCTTGCATAGTTTGTAATGCTAAGTATTGCAGCAACTGTGTGCTCAGGGCAATGGGATCCATGCCTGAAGGGCGAAAATGTGTAACGTGCATTGGTCAGCCTATAGACGAATTGAAGCGTCTGAAATTAGGTAAATATTCGAGGGTGTTGTCCCGGCTGTTGAGTCCTCTTGAAGTCAAGCAAATTATGAAAGCGGAGAAAGAATGTTCTGCGAATCAGCTTCAGCCGGAGCAGTTGAGTATCAACGGATTGCCTTTAAAGCCTGACGAGATGGCGGAATTACTTGGGTGCCCCTTACCTCCGCGTAAGCTGAAGCCCGGTAGATACTGGTACGACAAAGAATCCGGTCTTTGGGGAAAGGTGATGATTTATGCTTTATTATGAGATTAGTTCCGCTTCAATTGACATAGAATGGAGTATTTCGATTTTATCTTCAAATTCATAAGGTTGATTTATGTTATGTTTCCATCTGTTGTTATTCATTTAATAGGAAGGGGAAAAGCCTGACAGAATCATTAGTTCAAACTTGAACTTCTCTGGCAAACTAAGCACTAATGCTAGTAATGGAAACACCGAGGTTTACATCAATGGTCGAGAGATCACAAAACTTGAATTGAGGGTACTCAGGGTAAGCTTCTGTCCGTGTTTATATTTGAACAAAAAATTATATCTACCAACCAATGGAGTGCTTTTGCCACCATTATAATATTCGGACGAACCTTATTGTTATAGTGGCATTTTGGTGTCAACGAATTCAACGGAATAACAGTCTTCTTTGAATTTTCAGTTGGCAAACGTGCAGTGTCCACGTGATACTCATTTTTGGGTTTATGATGACGGTCGTTACGAGGAGGAAGGTCAAAAGAATATAAGAGGAAACATTTGGGAGAAGGTATTCACTTAAATAATTGTAGGTGGTAACTTATTTAAATCATATTAAGAAGTATATAGAATAATAAAGAAAGAGATGTTTTACTTTTTCCTTGACACAGGCATCAACAAGATTTATTTGTGCCTTGTTCTCTCTACCCTTTCCACATGGACAGCATCACGGTTCAAGAGACGAGACTAGTAATTATACCGCAGTTCCTAAATATCTGGAACAGAAAAAAACTCAGAAGCTTCTTCTTCTTGGAATTCAAGGTTCTGGAACTAGCACTATGTTTAAGCAGGTATGGCTTTTACCTCAGATGTTAAGTTCTATGCATACAATACGAGGGTACGAGTACTTCAATATAAATTTTGAAACACATGCGCACATTCACTTTTATTATTAATTTTATTATAACATGAATCTCTTTTGTGGCGATCTTGTTAACTGTAATTGCTGAGCAGGCCAAATTCTTGTACGGGAACACATTTACCGAACAAGAGCTAGAGGACGTTAAACTGATGATACAGAGTAACATGTACAAATATCTTAGCATTTTACTTGATGGAAGAGAGCGTTTTGAAGAGGAGGTTGTTTCTAGATTGAATGGACAAGGTTCTCCTCGTCAAGTTATGGAACCCGGTAATATTTTATGTCATGTTGATTATTTACATCAAATTTCCACTTCAGTGTCGGTATATGAAGAAATAATGTAACTCATTTGTGCTTCAATTATTGTCAACTACATCGAGTACAACCTAAACACTTCTTATTCTCGCATTAAATATTTATTAATCTCCTTGCGTTTTCCAAGTTTCCTAGCCCTAAACAAGGAATGATAGGAGAACTTGTGTATCTTCTTCATGCCTGGTTCATTAGTTTAGTAAGTGCTACAACATCTTGAGGGAATGGACATAATATTTCATACTATTTCAATATTTATTCAGGTAGCAATGGTGAAGCTAGCACTGCTAGTGAATGCGTCTATTCTCTCAACCCAAGACTAAAACATTTTTCCGACTGGCTCCTGGACATTATAGCCACTGGGGATTTGGATGCATTCTTCCCTGCGGCGACACGTGAATATGCACCATTAGTTGAAGAAGTGTGGAAAGATCCAGCGATACAAGAAACCTTTAAAAGAAAAGATGAGCTTCACTTCCTTCCAGATGTTGCCGAGTACTTCTTAAGTCGGGTAATTGCTTGCTTCCCTAGTCATCCTTGAAATCGGAGTCTCCTTAAAACTAAGATCTTCTTTAAATTTATTCTTTATGAATATGAAAATTTGCAGACCCAATAATTAGGGGTTGGTTTGAGTTGGCTTGTTTGAGTCGATCTACTCTTATAAGAACCTGTGAGACTGTTTGAGAAAGGTTATAGATACAGTTTATGACATGTCGTAAGATGTTTGCAGCGTAATCCCTTAAACTCTCCATAATAGATTATGAAAATAACTTATAGCTTATATGAAAACAATTTGACTTTATTTTATGTTTTGTTATAAAGCTAGCTTATACATAAGCTCTTATATGATAAGTGCTTAGTTAAGCTGTTTGTCTTAACATGGCTTAAGTTTATTGGTTATGTTAATGTATCATAATAGAAATGGTTATTGTTTTGCTATCATGATTTTACTCTTCAGCTTTGGAAAGATGAATGGTATTGGCTTGAATAGCTAGATAATGTGTTCTTGTTTATTACAGGCTGTTGAGATATCTAGCAATGAGTATGAACCTTCTGAAAGGGACATACTATATGCAGAAGGGGTTACTCAAGGAAATGGTCTGGCTTTCATGGAGTTCTCACTCGATGATCGTAGCCCAAAGTACGAAGCTTATACAGATAACCCGGATGGCCAATTGCAACCTCAGACCAAGTAAGCATATTGATTTCTTTCCTAATTTGGAAAGACTCCTTTTCGGAGTGGAAATTACTTATATAGTTGAAATTTTGATCTCTTTTCTATTGGATGGGAGCAATGGTAGTTAAATGAATCGGCTACATTTAATGCACAGCAAATGTATTTTTCTTTGAGCTGTTATTTGTGCCTTTTGAGTTTTTCCTAGGATGATGATGTTGAAAGTTTACCTGTCATCATTTCGTCGATTTACTACAAAATAGCAAACGTGTATTTATGATTACGAAAGGTCGCTTAGCGTGACTGTTTGAGATTTTAGACCCTATTACTCACGTTGACATTCCCCGCATAATTCACTGAAAAATGTTGCAGCAACCATATTTTTTCAGTTACTTTTTCTGGAAACCAGACTATTTTGCAGTTAAGTTGGATTCAATTCCCTATTTTAGGTTTTATTGCTTGTAATTATGATTGTTGGATTTCGTTGAATTTTAGTGGACTAATATTGATGGGCCAAGTTGCCTAAAAATCAATACATTTCATTCATTTTTAATTGTGTTATGTTGCTGTTGGATCATCCTGCCAACCCTTCGAGAGGAGGGACGCAATGAGAGTTTCAACCTGCCTACTTAGGTTGGGCCGCCCCGTTCCACTTAAGACGGGCTGATGGCTGGGCGGGACAAAATGCTGTTGGTTGGTTTGTTTTGCCCCCATTCAAAAAAGTCATTGAGACTGTCTATTGTTAGTCCAAGTGGGTAGAAAGAAATAGTCCACTTAAGCAATGTCTCATATTCAGTTTTGCAAACAGAAAAATAGGCATTGAGAGAGTTATCTCCTTAAATGGATTCACCCGACTCAATTCGGATTAGTTTGGGTCAAATGACCTCGAGACACCTAGGATCTAAGACCATAAAAAGTGATTGATATCCAGAATCACACCATTTTTTATATTAAACACAATGGTTAATAACATCTCTTTGATGTCTCAGGTACCAACTTATAAGGGTGAATGCCAAGGGCATGAGTGAAAGTTGCAAGTGGGTTGAAATGTTCGAAGATGTTAGAGCTGTCGTCTTTTGCGTTTCCCTAAGTGACTACGATCAGTTATCTCTTGCACCAGACAGCAGCGGCAACGGAACACTTCTCCAAAACAAGATGATACAAAGCAAGGAGCTTTTCGAAACAATGGTGAGACACCCTTGTTTCAAAGACACCCCTTTAATACTAGTCCTTAACAAATACGACGTCTTCGAGGAAAAAATGAAAAGGGTGTCCCTAAACGCCTGCGAATGGTTCAACGACTTTTGTCCCGTGCGCGCGCACGACAGTAACCAATCACTCGCCCACCAAGCTTACTTCTACGTTGCCATGAAATTCAAAGACCTTTACGCGTCCATCACAGGCAGAAAACTCTTTGTCGCACAAGTAAGAGCAAGAGACAGAATAACTGTTGATGAAGCATTCAAGTACATAAAAGAGGTTCTCAAATGGGATGAAGAGAAAGATGAAAATTACTATGGTCCACCTGAGGATTCAATTACAGACATGAGTTCTTCTTTTTATGTTAGACAGGAGTAAATATAATGTCTCTGAAGAAAATTAGTATTGTTTTTATTTTTGGCTATTAAAAGAGGTTGTTGGAAAAAATGTAACATGTTGGGTGTGGGTAGCACATGTTTCTATGATGCTTTTTATGTACTAAAAGTGAAATTTGTTTTGGTAGAGTTGTTTTATAGGCTGAAACCTTTGTCGTGTATCTGCATGTAGGCATTCTCTTTGCATGTGGAAGAACTGTTCATTGGTTCCGACGCTTTTGTAGAATTGTTGGAAACATTTACTGCGGTAATAAAAGGGAGGACAGAAAACCAGAATTAAAACGAAAGGTGTATAAAGTTTTTCCTCCTGCTAGATTTTACTACAAGTTGATGAAATCGTTTGTTGATTTTACTACAACATAAGCAATTATTTACTAGTATGTTTGAGTGAATGAAGAGATATTTTGCTTCACTGAGATTCTTTGCCATGAAGTGATAACACAAGTAGTACAAGGAATCCCTAGTACACAGGTAGCAGCAGGTTTTTCTACATTATTAACTAGCACTTTTATAAATGTATACAAAAAATAACTAGCACATTGAAGACCAATAGTTTACTTTGTGTCCCACTCACATTCTCACATAGGTTAAAGTTGTAAATCTTTTACGGTGAATAAATTTGTAGAATCAGTATGAGGTTTATTAAGCAAAAGCTCTCAGGTGTACTTTCCCTTCTTGTTTTGAGTACACGGAAGGGTGGTAAACAGACATATTCCTCCAACAAAAGTCTCGAAAGAAAATAGGGCGGGGCAGAATTTGTTAAGGGTGCGATCTGTTTTGAAAGAAAATAAGTGCGGGGTAAGGTGGGCTTGCATGTATTGAATATTTTAAGTCTAAAAATTATAAATTTTTATGTTAATATTTGTGTGTGCAAAATCCAGTCTTTACCCGACAATATTGGAAATTCAGATTTTTGTTGAAATTTTCTGCTAAAAGAGAATTCGTGATAAAGAAAAAAAGAAGATTTGCTAAAACTTCAGAAAATATTTTTAACAATGGGAGTTCCACTTTACCTCAACGACAAAATATTTATTTTTGTCCTTAATTATATCTTGGGGTTTATTTTAGTCTTTTAATTTTTAAAAGGTTCATATTAGTCTCTTAACTCTTCAAAACGTTTGATATTAGTCTTTTTACTTTTGTTTGTGATTTAGCATAAGCCCTGGCACCGAAGGATCCAATGAATTTTATAAGATAGTAGTTGACATGTGTGTATCACGTGACATTCCACAGTATGTCTGTACTCAGTAATATTATTGATATTGCAACTTGCAAGATGCTGAAGTGCCCATGTGACACATTAAAGATACTAGACAGTTGTCGTACAAAAACTAAGGTATACTTGTAACCATGTATTCATTATGTTCACTCCCAACAATATACCATATGTACAACTAGGAACCAAAGAGAAATTCCAATCATTTCCTTGTAAATTCTCATCATTATTCTTTACAACTTACCCTTCTTTGTGGTGACAACTTTGAAACTAGAGTTTGCAAACTAAACTAGGGACTTTTGCCTCCAATATCCCTCTTTTCAAACTAGTAGTTTGAAATTTTTTTCCTAAATGCTCCACTTTTTAATTCAATGGTGATCTTCGTCCATCCATTTGCAATTCTTTATTTATTTATTTATTTTTAATATTTTAAATTAACTTTTTAATTAATATAATAATAGTTTTAATAATAAAATATTTTTTTAATTAATAAAATATTTTTTTATTAATAAATTTTTTAATGGTACAATTATTAATGCAATTTTTTTCTTCTTTTCAATATAATTAATATGATTAAGAAATAAATAAAAATGCAACTATTAATCATTGAAAAATTTATACATTAACATCGTTTTGAACCGGTCAAAGGTCCAATTAGATAAGGCTTAATTCATCTAAAGATCACTCCATTTAACCTAAAACATAAAGTCGATTCACACGAAAAGTAATAGGCATTCTCTGATCTCCACTTTTCACTGCACTCATTTTTAATCTTGAATCGACTTATACTTTGGAGTGTTAAGCATGCAAGTCCACTATGCATTGTTGTATTTGAGATCAACACTATCAATTCAAGACCTTCAGTTTATCAATTGCATCAAATTCTGATTTCTAGACAGAACAATGTTGTTGTCTGTGGGAATCAACTTTCGATTCCCATGTTTTCTACAATTTTGCAATAACATTTTAATTCGCCAATGCATAACCTTTTTGGATCACTAAGTCAAGAGCGGTCTGAATCGAAGGCGAGTATAATCAATCATTGTTTCAACTATAATTCACCGAATTTCCAAATCTCTGATTCCCGCGAGAACTCTGCAAAGTAAAAGAACTAATGATTCTAGATCCAATTTTAGATCTACGTTGGAATTGCCAAAGAACGAAGGTAAATTGTCTCTAAATTCATAGTGAAGATTCCTAATCAATCTTCCAATCTCACATTACCTCAATTATATGTCGTTGATGCCACACTTACCATGACAACTTCGAAGATACAACAAATTCATAACTCTCATCGGCATGACGAAGTGAAGTGGATGAATTTTCAATGCAAGTTATCCACAATTAAAGTGAGTATAAATTTTACAATGATAAGTTAAAGTGAGTATAAATTCTGCAATGATCAGTAATTGTGTTTTTATTTATTTTAAAATAATTATTATTTTTAATCATATTAATTATATTAAATTTATTTTAACATTAAACAAATAGTCTAGTAATTTAAACTCGCTCGCTCTTTAACAAAAAACAATTGGGATGTTGGGAGCCCCTACATCTAAAATCCCTGCACATCTAACAATAATTTTTATTTTTTTAATTATATTAAATTTATTTTAACAATAAACAAATAGCCTAGTGATTTAAACCTGCTGTTTAACGATAAAGCTCCTACATCTAAAATCTCTACAGAGCTATCAATTAACCTGCTTTATTGGGACATGTTCAAAAAAAAATTATTAAATTTTTTTAATTATTTAAAAAATTATTTTATTATTATTTTGCTTAAAATAATAATTTAAAACATTAAAAAACAAAATAAAAAAATAAAAATAATAGATAATGGAACAAAAGTTGAATAGTAATCCATTGAATTGAAATGGAGTATTTAGAGAACTTTTTTTGAACTAGGATAATTAGAAAATTTTGTTTCAAAAGGGGATATTGGGGGCGAAAATCCCAAAACTAGTCATTATTGTAGAACAAACTATGAATATCGTTTAAAGAAATGAAAGTACCGCGAGAAACATAAGATATAGGTACTTTTGCTAAAGCATGAATACTGTCACCAAGCAAACACATCCTAAAAATTGCTGTGACTTCTAAAAATAAGCTCTTCATTCATTAACAATAAAACCATATTCTAAAATAGAAACATATGCTAATATATTTGGCTTATCTAATTGAACCTCATCCAGCTTTTTTTACAATCTAGCTTTTTGTGAAACTTGTTATCAATATTATATACTATAATTTGGCCATGCAATGCAGTAATACCCTGTTGTCACAATTGGTAATTGGTACCACATCTCATCACTGTTTCGACACAACAGAAGATTTATAACACGGTAAAACTAGTAGAAACCAAACTGATGTATGAGAAGATTCAGGCAACAGAAAATAATCATTTGGCTCAATTAAATGGAAGGAACTTCTAAAGTAAATAAAAATGGCTGTATCTAAAGAAAATTTTCAGGTACATAGTTTGGTCACCACTCTAAGATGTAAAAACAGACTGTTTTGAACCGATGCAACATGTCTCTAAGCATGCAACCATTTAGAAACAATAATTTCTAAGCCAAGTACAAGGGGTTGCTATTACCAGCAATCATTCAAAAGAAGTAGACAAAACTAAATGAAGCACATAAGTTGGCTATATGCCCATGTAACTCGGAAGTCTCTTCGTCTTTTGTTGCCTCAGGATGTTTTCCCTTTAACATTAGAAATCGTTACAACTGGCAGAAAACAAACAGAAAATTTTCATGATCCAATTAAATCGGGTGTCTCAGCCTCGATGGACAACAACGCCGTGTGTACTTTTCCTGTCCAACTGTCCAGTCGATCCCGTAAGGATTTTATCTGTTGAATACCAAGAACTCTTGGTTGCACCCAGGAAACATGTACTGTGCCCTCCACTTGATCAATAATACCCTCAATCAGATGAACCTGCAATAAATATTTTCGTATACAAGCTTACAAATTTGACACTTAATTTTTCTATATGATCTTTACAACAGAAAATCAAGGCCCCATATATAGACAATTCAAATAGCTTTTCTCAGAAGCCTGGATAACTTCTTTTTTAAAAACAAGTATACAATACTGCAATGAACAAAAGAAAATGAAGCCCCCATGTGTGTGCTAAGTTGTAATCATGTTTATAAAATAGCAATGTATTTTTCCAAACCAAAGCAAATACCAACAAGGACCTCTACTCTAGTCATCACTAAACAGGAAAAGAAAGACTAAAAAAAGCAAAACAAAAAAGTGAAAATAACCATTTTCAAAAGACAAATAAAACATTTTTCAACTTTGAATGATAATTATCTGCCAAAAGATGGAAATGATCATTAGCACAACTAGAACTCCAACAGAAAACCCAACTAGTTTTTTTAGGTAAAAATTTGTAAAAATAAATATAAAACGTGATTGTTAGTAACAAGATTAACACATCTTAAAAAATTATATAAACCAAAATGAAGCATCATAAAAACTCTAAAAACATCAACGCATCTTAAAATATCATATAAACAAAAATAACTCAAACAAAAACGAAGGAAGTTTCACATTTACTCAAACCCATAAGTTAAAATTGTCATACTTTAGATGATTATAAAGAAAAAAAAATGAACGTTTAAAAAGCAGCAACTTTCAAGAACTTCCAGTTGAACTTACAGATAGGCTCTTCATAAGGAGATGCTCCACATCCTCTATAGAAAGCTTTGTACGCTCTGCAATTGCACTCAATGGAATAGTACGATCTTCCGAAGGCCGACTTGAAATAAACACAGTCAGCTTTGTGTAAGAAATGGAACATAACAGTTTCAAATTCATCCCTGAATGAAACAGCTTCGATAATATATTCATCGAATATGTACCTGAATATAATTTCCATCAGACAGAGAATGTTGATCTTTTCCAACAGCTTCTGTTCGTTTTGAACTAGTGCCGGTTGAGCCCTTAAAGCAGCATTATGCACCTGACATAATTCTTGATATCGAACCAAATCGCCAGAATTGAATGCCTGCAGAATGTAGTAGAGCCATTCCACCTTTGTCCCTAGGAGGCTCTTAATCTGTGCAAGGTATAATAAATTGTATTATCCAACATTGTAACTTAAACAGATGACTGGAGTACGGAAATTTTAAAAAGTAGACATTCCAAATAATATCTGTAAATACTCACAATAGGATGGGCAAGTAGCTCTCCAAAGTTGTATATGTTATCCCCCAACAGAGCGGAAAGGGACAGGTCAAATGCCAAATCCTAACAGATCACAAAAAAATTGTGCATTAACTAATACCATATCTGCAGATAAATAGAAAAGAAACCATAGACTAGTATGATATCTCCTGTAACCTCTACCTAAATCAGAAGGACATGCAACTAAATAAATTAAAAAGCCCAGATTCAATTTCAATTTTACCAAAACATAAGCATCAACCTGATTCAAAGTCCTCTGAATCAATGTTGGCAAGCACAGCATAGAAATGTAAATGTGTGATCAAATAGCAATAAAAACCAATTAGATTAACTTTTATAGATTAATGTTGGACATTCAGTAGACTTTTCTATACTTTCTAGTTGTATCCTTTTCTCATTTTTTTAAATTACTTATGTATCAACATACAAACATACAATAGGAATACCACAATACTCGAAAATGTTGGTATTTTGCTATTATATTTTCAATTTTCAATAACTCAAGCTAACTTTAACACATCTACTTTATTTTTTATTTAATATTTAGGTTAGTATTATAGTAATAATTAATAGCAGTTGAGTATTATACTAATAATTAATAGCAGTTGAGTGATCTACTGATATGTGTTTGTATCTTACAATTTTAAGATTCTTGTATGCTTGCGTCTTTGTCAATGTCTCATATCATATGTGTCCTGTATTGAATATATGTACTAACTAGAATAAGACAATTATTGAACTCTATTTTGTGGTAGTAGTACTATAACTTAGCTACACCATCCCTAGTCCCCCTGATGTAAAAAGAACCCAATCCTGAAGTCCAAAATAAAAGAGAGATCATCCCCAACAAATTACTATTTAGCAACTGTGTAACGCATCCTCTTGTGTCATATTATACACTAGTTATTTCATCTTAGTTAATTTTGAGAAGAAGAAAAACACGCCTACAACCTACAGTTAGATACGCTGATTGGTCACTATCCCCTCATGATAATTACCCAAGAGCCTGAGTTCTACGCTTCGGAAATAACAGTTATTACCCATCCATCACATTATTATATTATTTTCTGATCCTCCATCCTTTCTCACATAAATTTTTTTACATAGAAAAGATGTGGTACCATCTCAATAATTTACCTTTGTTTAAAAAAAAATTACAGTAACAGTGAGACGACCTATTTTTACTACTTGATACTAGCAATTTACATCACATCTGAAGACTTTCTACAGGAGTTGGGCAGCCATTTTCCCCAAACAAGAGTGGAATTACCCTATCTACAGATATTTTCCTCATATTCACAACATGAAACAACTTTACAACACTCTTTCTTACAGTCTGCCTTCACAGCCAAACTTTAAGAATCATAAAGAGACAAAAGTAACTGTATCCAGGGCAAAGTGTAAGCTAATAGCCATGACTTGAGACAACAGAAAAGGAATAAATAAATCAACAAAAACATTTCACAGTTCGACAACATACCAGCTTGAATGAATCGGAGAGAGACTCCACTGATGTGTATGCCAAATAGAGAAGAGCATTTTTGTAGAACTCAGCAAATTCCTGACGGGATTTGTGATATTGAGAAGATACCCAGTAATAGCTCGCATACACAGTTGGATCAATATCTGTCATGCTGTCAAGTGTACTCTTTCCATTTTCCAGAAGATTCTTGCACTCCTTTTGGTCACCTTGCTCAAGCTTAAATAAGGCAATTTGCATCTTGATGTATAGAATAGGCTCTTCAATGCGCTGCTCTCTAGTTGCTTGCAGTTTCTCAATGACCCCTTCAAGATAAGCAACGGCGGCTTCTTTCTCAGAATACTGTCGAGAAACCATCACAGCAAAATGGGCGAGCTTGAGAAGGTTGATTTTGGTCTCGAAGTCTGTGATGAAATTGTTATATAACTGTATCAGAGCATCACCGGCCTGAAAATACAAAGTAAAAATAATCGGTCAAGCAAATAAATAATAACCCACAATAAGAAGTTGCACAGTGGAGTAAATTATCAGACTAAAAGTCACAAAAACTGATAATAGAAGCAAAACAGAATTGACACTGCACAAATTGTGTAACATCGTTGATGGCATTAAAAACAGTAGACGGTAGATGAGTGACAGTATTAGTAAAACAATGACTAAAACTGAATAGTGACCCGACCATAAATGCAATCACTAAAACAATCACTACAACTTGTAGTAGTATGAAATTATCTTGGTCTTACCAACCATGTTGCTTCAGAAAGCAAAGATATAACACCATTTGTGACAAAGATCCTCATCCAAACTAAAATCCACCCAACAAATGGGGGAATTTCAACACCAATTTATGATACATTTGATCAATCAAACCATTTTTTAAGAAAAATACAAGGCTAGCTTGATGTTGTTAAAACAAAACATCTTCAGTGCACTCTGATCATTAATTGTCTTCAACTTATTAACTTATCAATCACATTTTCAAGAAGGCTTTATCATATCCCAATCCATAATAATATAGTAGGGTTGAAGCTTTAAGGAAAAATTATGAGCTTCAAAGCAAACACTACAATGCTCGAGTAATATCGAGAAAATTTCATACACCACTCAAATCCCTCCCCACACACGCACAAAAAATAAAAAATAAAAATAAAATCCAAAGCAAATTCCAACAAAACCCTAATCTAAATACCCCAACGCCCATGATTAAATTCCATAAACAATTCAAACAACGACGCAACCCTATACCCTACCTAACATTCTCGGATCCAAAACAAAAAACCTAAACTCATCCACTAAGAAGGTATCCACCTTTTACCACAATCCCAATCACAACACAAAAACCAAAACCCTAATAGCATCACGGTCGTTAACCATCTAAACTCAACTCCCAAATTAAGTTCAACACAAAAACAACAAAACAAAAACAGAAACCCTAATTTTAACAAACGGCAAAATCAAAAGGAGGAAGCAGAGAGTCAAAATATTGGTTCAATTGAGCGTGTAAAGAAAGTGTATTGGGAGAAGAAAGTGAAGAGTGATACCTGAAAAACGGCAAGAGCGACAAACTGTTCGAGCTTGAGAGTAAGCTGATGCCATAGCTTGTTCTGGTACAGATCCGCAAGAGAATTGTACCATTCGCCAAGCTCGGGGTGAGAACTTCGAAGGGATTCCAAGTATTGCAGAGCAGCCATGGCGATTGAAGCGAGAAAACTCTGAAACAAAGAAAGAAACAAATGGAACTCTCTTCTCTGTTTTGAGGTCGTTGTGCTTTTATATTTTTATTTTTACTTTTACTTATAATAACATTTATTTTCCTACTTTTTCTTGTTTTGCTTCGGCTCAAAGAAATGCATAACTACTAGAGTTTTTTATTTTTTATTTAAAAATAATAATAATATTTTAAAAGCTCTTTTATCCGAATAAATAGGGCGTATATGAGTTGGGTTAATGTATAAATTTTAGTAAAATACATTTTAAAATATTTTAAAATGTGGGTTGCATCGGGATAATTGGATGGTAAAGGTTCAAAACTAAAAAAAACTCATTTAAAAATGACAATTTTTTATTGCACTCTATATGTTTTTAAGGCACCATGTGAATTTTCACACATGCTTTCTAATTATGGAGATACATCTTCGGAACCATTATAAACATTCTGAACATGTCACCCATAATCATAAACCATTTACATTTGAATTGTTTCGAGATGTATCTCTGATAATATTCTGGAGGTACATCTCCGAAGTGTATCAGAACAGGTTGTTTTTTATTATAAGTTATATATTTGTTTTCAGATGAAGTATGAAGCACGAACTCGAATAAAAAATAGACGTACAAAATAATAAGAGACTAATATTAGGTGTGTCAAAAATGGTATAACAATATAATTAAAAAGTGTTGTACAATCGAGATCCAAAATATAATAACAATGTCAGAAATGAAGTACAAACTATAGTACTAAAACAAAAATGATAATAATAATAATAATAATAATAATAATAATAATAATAATAATAATAATAATAATAATAATAATAATAATAATAATAATAATAATAATAATAAACATCTATTAGGTGTATCTGGCAACCTCTTATATACCTCTTCTACCTCCCCTGCCTCCTCGACCATCAATCCCCCCGTCCTTTGACGATATCTTTGGTACAACTGCGCCTTATATGCCTCCCCCACCATGGCATCCAAGACTTGTTTTAACAGCAGACCCCTCGGGGAAGATACCTTATTGAATCTGTGTTCGTGCAATGTGCATTATGCGATGACACCAAGGCAAGACATCATCAGTATGATCTAGTTGAGTTATTAGTCCTCAAGTATCTCCTAATGAGCTGGTCTCAAAGGATCTCCAAGAGCAGTCTCCACCGTGTACGGATGTGACACTCTGAAAAAACACTTGATGTACCAATCGACATAGCTCTAATCGCCCGGCGCTATGGTAGTCTGTGTCTAGTCCGGTACTAGATGACTCTGTTTATCTATAAGACAAGGAAGGAGGAACAGAGACAACATAGTGTCTAGGGATGGTGTGCGTGTATCTGAATTGTTGCATGACGCACTCAGGCAGATAAGAAGCAATGATATGTGCCATCTGGAGTATAGAGTTATGTCGTCAAATGGTCATATCTGATGGTGATTCACATGGTTGTTGAAGTGCATGTCCTCGACAACCAAATAGTCAAGGTACACTCTAAAAGACTCGATCCCTTAGTTCTCTCTCAGCGGGATAAAAGCACAGGCATAGAGCACGTCTTCAGTGTACTCATCCGCACTCGCCTAACAAGCGATACACGGTAAGTGCTAGAGAATCCAACACTGAGATGAATATTTAAAAAAAAAAACATCTAAGGATCAAGAGTTATCGACATTAGCAGTGTCATGTTGCATGTGACCAGCTTCGTCTTCCACTAACATCTATCTTTCAACTTTGAATAAAGATAGCATAGGCAAGCCGCCCCTAATCGTACTCATGGTCCGAGTGAGATCCAATAAGTATCGAAGGTATGCAACATCAATATATGTGGCACTCGTGTCCACAAAAATGCAAGTGTCAACCAAAAAAATAAAATATACCCTCAAAGCACAAGCCATGTGTATTGCCACCTGCTCAGCATCACCATCAGCCACCTCTGCAACAACGATCTCCTTATCATATCTCTCCTTCAGGAACTCAAACCTAGAATGAGAATCCCTGGTCCTATCATCTCCTCAATCGTCTTCCTTGGATCATTCCCCGAATGTTTTATTATAATCTCGATTGAGGAATCTCCCCTTTATCGGAAGATGTAACAAACACGAGACATCGTCCAGTGTGATATACATCTTACCATGCAGAAGATGAAAATAAGAGATCTCAAAATGTCATCTCTCCATGAATGCATTAAGCATCACGTGATTGACCAGAGTTTAACCTGTTATGCATAGGTCCTTTAACCCAAATAAAGTTAGAACAGACTGAAACCAATCATCATCCAACTGAGCTAAGCCAACAATCTTCCTCTCATGGTTCAGAAACTTCTAGAGATCACGCACCTGGAATTTTTCAAAAATAATAAATGCCAACAATAATCAATGTTAGAAATAATCAATGTCAACAATTTAAATTAACGTAAAAAATAAATAAATAATCCAACTAATGCTACCTTTTCATCCCGGATATGTCTGGCGGTGTGGTTTGGATACAAAACCCTCTAAGTCAGCATCTGCAGTAGCCTCATCCTCTATAAGTGGCACTAGATCAGCAGGATCATCAGCGGGGGGTGGCACTGGTGAATCCTGACACCTACAGGAGGATGGGGGAAGTGGCATGTCAGCTGGTGAATCCTATCTCCTATGAGAAGAAGAAAAAGATGGAGTGGCATGGGATGAAGTGGCATGTGGTGAAGAACGAGTTCCAAGAGATATATCTCTAGAATCGGGGGGCATTTGTGAATTTCACATGGTACGGTAGAAATACATATGGTGGGAAAATAATTTCTCTTAAAAATTCAAGTTTTGAATAAAACCCGACCCAAACCTATAAATTCCACTGATCGACTAATCAAATATTTATTATTACAATTTTAATAATTTTGATGAATATTAACTTAGTTGTTACATTTTTAGTCTGTTAACATTTACTATTTTAGTAAACCATGATTTTAACTAATTTTGAATGTTTCACACTTTAGTTATTTTGATATTAATACATTTCATGTCATGCAACTTTAGTTCGTTTCTAGTATGTTATGATCATTTTTATTAGTCAATGATATCATTTATTATTTTATGATTCTAAAAGATAATAAAAACAAGTTATCTAATAAAAATGTTGAACGATTTGTATGAATATAATATGATGACTCATTATTTAGTCATTTAATATTAATAAAACAAAAAATTTATTTAGGCATTCCACTATCCAACCCAACACAACTCAAAAATTAGTGGGTTTGCCCAAATCGGCCCACTGGTGTAACAAGTGATTATTTTATCTCATCCAAATTGGAGTATGCTATATGGTTTGGGTATTGGTTTTGGCCAAAACCAACCCAAATCGGCCCACACATGCCCCTACAAATAAAGATTGTTCTTTATATTCCATGGATAATTCTTTGCTACCATAAAAAGTCACAAATATTTCTAGTGTTTCGAGATGTATCTTCAGGTGCATTTTTTTCACACCTATCAACCTAAATTAATGAGGCACTCTTATTTTTCCAAAATTTAATTCGGATATGTATATTCGTATCAACATTAGGGTGAATCTGGAGATATATCTTAGTAAAAATTCTTAATTCAAAACTCATTTATTTTTATAGAGATGCATCTTCAAATGCGTTTATTTCATATACTCACGTTAGATCTTTCCTTCTTTCTTCTTCATTTGCTTCAAAGTCATTAAAACTCCATTTGAGCTCTTTTGCTCCAATGTCCTTTTCAAGTCTCATTTGAGCAAGTTTATTGAAGCTCATTTTTTAGGGGTCAGTCACCTATTCAACTTTATTATTTAAATTATCTAAAATATTATTTAAATTTTATTTTCTTCTAAATACTCTACCAACTCACCAAACTCTCCCATACACCCTCCCATGACTGGCATACTCATACAATAATCATAATTTATTTATTTAATTAACATAGCTTAATAATTAATTAAATATAGAAATTCATAAATAATCTAATTTGGGATGTTACAACTCTCCCCCGCTTAAAGAATTTTTGCCCTAAAAGACTACCTCAAGTGAACAAATTAGGATATGAATCCCTCATTTGGCTATCAAGCTCTCAAGTCACATTTCCACAAACCGGTCCTCCCCAAACTACCTTCACTAAGGTAATCTTTTTACCACACAACTGTCTCACTTCCCGACCCTTTATCTGTATGGGTGATGCCTTAATAATCAGGTTATCTCTCACTTATATATCATCTATTTTGATCACATGAGATTAATCCAAAATGTATATTCTCAACTGAGAGACATGAAAGACATCATGAAGATTAGCAAGCGACGGTGGCAAAGTAACCTAATAGTAACATTCTTATATCTTCTATATAATTTGGTACGCACCGATGAACTATGAAGTAAGCTTTTGAGACTTCAAAGCTAAACTAACACCAGTTATCAGAATAACTCTAAGAAACATATGATCACACTCTTTGAACTCAAGTGCCTTCCTCCTCTTGTCATGGTAACTCTTTAGGTGACTCTGCGAAGATTTCATCTTCTCTTGAATCATTTTGATATTATCTATGGTTTGTTAGAAGATCTCAGGTCCAATCACAACGCCCTTCCCCAACTCATACCAACACAGATGTTTCCTACACCTTCTGCCATACAACGCTTCAAATAGTGTCATTCCAATATTGAATGAAAACTATTGTTGCAGGTAAACTCAATCAACGGTAAAAAGTTATCCCAAGCACCTCCTTGTTTTAGTACACAAGCTTTTCAACGAGTCTTCTAAAGATTGGATAGTCCTCTCTATCTGCAGATGATAAGCAGAACTCAAATGCAACTTCATACTTAAAGCCTTCTGCAAACTATCCCAAAATCTCGACATAAACCTCATATCCCTGTCAGATGTAAAACTAGAAGGAATCCCATGAAACTGACAATCTTTTCAATATACAACTCTATTAGTTTCTCAAATGGATAATAAAGTCTTATCGAAAGGAAATGATTCGACTTAGTCA